ACTTTAGTCAATCTATATCTAGTTGGAGTATTTTTTTCACCCACAATATTCTAGTTTTTCTTGTAATTATAATATATTTTACATTTGCTCACTTATATGCTGATTTTGTAAAGAGAATGGGATTTCACATTATTTGAAATTATAAGGTACCTGCCTCCCCTAAAATCAACTTTCTTAACATTTTTTTATTTTTTTGATTTTTCAAAAGTACAATTAATAATAAGACCTCCTCAAAGTATGAAGATTATAATTCATACAGATAGTAGAATACTCTAAGGAGAGAACTGGACATTTTTCAAACCATTGAAAATAAATGATTTAGTTTCCAGTTCTTATTTAAATTATAACCTTGTCGACAATGATGTTGATGGGTATTATAAATTCCATGAGTTTGTTTTACTATAAGGTTTACTTAACTATATCAAATCATCCCTAAAATTGTTCCATAGTTTTAATCTTATTTCAATCAAGTGCAGCCTAATAACCAGTTTTCTCACAGGTAAAATTTCATTAATTTGGCTTCTTGAGTGTTAAAATGTTGTACATAATTCCTCAATATTATAATTCAGAAGTTGATAAGTGAGAACTTGCATTGTGTAATTCTACACTAATAGAAATGGTAATCAGGATTCATGCAGGAAAGGGAATTACTGATGAAAAGATTATGAAGAGATTAGAAAAAAATTCATTTGGTATCTTATACCACTATTATGAATATTTACAGAATAGTGCTAGTAAAATGTAAGATGAAGAGAATAAATAGTAAGTAATGAAGAAAGTATCATTCATTATAACTACATTTATCATGATAATTTAAAAAAAATACAACACGATAAACCATGATGATACCAGTAATGATAAAAAAAATGGTAATGCTACTGAGAATGATGACTACAATGGTATAATGAAGAAATATTGAATAAGGAAATATCAACAGTACCAGTGGTAGTGGTAGAAATATTCATGAAGATGATAATTATCAGAATCACAAATCTTTTCAAGATTTGTTGCAAGTTGGGCCTTACATATACACAGATTTTATGGATGATTATATACACATATAATGCAAGCTGCAGTATCCATCACTCTCTGTACATACAACACATATGTATCAAGTTTTACAATCATTTTAACTGGTTATCTTAAGAGCACATCTAAAACAGCTGCCGCTTATCTTTCTGTATTGTGAGTAAATGCACTTGGGAACCTTTTTAAAATGCATGTGCGAGCAAAATGTTCTTAGTTACATGTTACAATCATATCAAAAGTGTGAATTCCATACTGCTGTTGACTGATTTCTGTCTGAAAAATCACCTTACTAGAGATTTATTCACTTCCACATTTATTGCTGCCTGCATAATGCGTGTTAACATTAGTTCCAAAATGAGGTTTACTAAATCTCTCATTTAAAAGTTCCTCTGCAGCACAGCCTAATTGTTTTCATGATTATTATTTGATGAGAGCAAATATAAAGCACCATTCTAATCAGTATCATACTATTAATCTATATCATGCTTGATTTTCCTGAAGACATCATCAACTTTAACAGTACATATACATCTGCTTTCATTTTCATGTTTCAAAATGCAGTGCCACAATTTATCACAACCACATTCTCTTCTATGATATTGTACCATGATTTGAGTATTTCAATACCAGTGTCCTCTTAATAATACGTCATCACTCTCGGCTTCTTTTTTTCCCATCTCAGATCCTGCCTAGCTTGTGCAGCGACCAGGAGCGAAACAGTGACCGCCTTCTTGAGGAGGGGGGAGCCTCACCTCCGTGGTTGGCACGGAGATTGATCGACGCTCCCCCTTGCAGGTTGACCCAGGTCTCTACACTGCCTTCCACTCCAGGCTCTGTAATAATGGTTGTAATTATAGTTGTCTTCTGAGTGTTATCTCTATTGTCATCAACAGTTTAGTCAAAAATGTATGTCATATAATAAAGTATACAGGCTCCGTACTGAAAGTTGATACATAATTACAATTTCCATGAAGCTATTAATGATTTCTTAAATGATTTTTTTCTTGTTGATATAAACATATATTACGATGCAGATAAAAAAGTCTCCATGGACAATGAAATCCTTGGCAAGTTAACAATTTCATTATCTAACCTGTGAAAAGATCTCCAAGAACAACATTTGCTGAATTAAGAAGTTCCCTGGACCCAGTGCGAATCTCCAAGACCAAGATAGCTCTTCTGGTAGCTTCACCTTCTATAATCCATTCACAATCAAAGGTGGGTGAAGGGGAGGCAGGCACCAGGCGAGACCGGCCTACAGTCTTAGTAATTTTGTTGCTGCTACTGCTGCTGCTGCTATTGGCGTTTTTCTCTTCGCTGTTAAGAAAGAAGATTAATCAATGCTATTTACAGGCATTGTTTTCTTTTTTTTTAATGCGACTAATTTACCTAGCATAAGGTGGGGGAAAAGAAAAAGTCTCAGGTAAACTACTTTTGTCATGTTCATGCTTTTGTACAAGGCAGATCTTAAATTTCAAGACTAATCTTGGCATAAATTTTGTTTTCTATATTTTAAAGCCTTACATAAAAGTATATGTGAAACCTTTAACATGTACATAAAATAAATCCTTATTTCAGAACCATCCTATTTTCATAAAGGGGGCAATTTACACAAACTTCAAACATAGGAAATCAATAATAAGTAGTTTCCTATGGCAAGCTGTCCATTTTAGAAATCTATGGCCTACCTGCAAAAGCATCTACAAAATTTCCTAATATCAATATGTACGACACAGAGCTTTAACTTGTTTCCAGATACCTTTAATATCTGAGGAATATGGATTAAATTCATGAAAACATTAAATCAGTTCTATGCTCACCTGACCATAGTTTGCATCCTGTTTGTTATAAGGAAACAGTTTAAAATGCTATTGATTTTACCACATCTACTATGATATATTTTTCTATAGTATGTTGTTCTTCATAGCAGTCTCTATTTCCTTCATACAAAATGCATTTGCATTTATCCTACTTCTTTTAAGAAAAAAAAAAAAATCATATATCAAGAGGAAGAGGGTGTATTTATTACAGAAGCTTCCTCATAATATTTTTCCCCTTAATAATGCCATACATGTTCTCTACATGTCCTCATGTATTCTTACCTTGTTACCATCAGCTTCTCTACTGATTTCTAGTCTTATCTATCATGATTATCAAGAAATGAGAAATGCTAAATAATGATAATGCCATTAAGAAAAAATGAAACTGATTTTTACATTTAGATTTTGGGACAGTGCATAATTGTAATAAATCCTTAATTGTAGTACATCCTTAATTGTAATAAATCCTTATTTCAGAACCATCCTATTTTCATAAAGGGGGCAATTTACACAAACTTCAAACATAGGAAATCAATAATAAGTAGTTTCCTATGGCAAGCTGTCCATTTTAGAAATCTATGGCCTACCTGCAAAAGCATCTACAAAATTTCCTAATATCAATATGTACGACACAGAGCTTTAACTTGAAAAAAAAAAAAAAAAAAAAAAAAAAAAAAAAAAAAAAAAAAAAAAAAATCATATATCAAGAGGAAGAGGGTGTATTTATTATAGAAGCTTCCTCATAATATTTTTCCCCTTAATAATGCCATACATGTTCTCTACATGTCCTCATGTATTCTTACCTTGTTACCATCAGCTTCTCTACTGATTTCTAGTCTTATCTATCATGATTATCAATAGAGAAATGCTAAATAATGATAATGCCATTAAGAAAAAATGAAACTGATTTTTACATTTAGATTTTGGGACAGTGCATAATTGTAATAAATCCTTAATTGTAGTACATCCTTAATTGTAATAAATCCTTAATTGTAGTAAATCATCCTTAATTGTAATAAATCCTTAAATGTAATAAATCATCCTTAAATATATTAGTGTTACCTCATTTTCAAACATGTATTAAAACACTATTATTCCACTGGTGATATTTTTTTTTTTTTTCAACACCAGCAAAACAGCCATGCATTAAAAAAATATATATATGTACAAGTAAATCTAAAAATACAACAAAAAAAATCTAAATAACTACAGTACCTCACACGGACACGCAGGAACAGCTGCAAGCCAGAGCGAGGTATGTGAAGGCCCTGTACCTGCCCTGCTATACCCCGTACGTTGAGAAACACACCTGGCCGCTGTGACAGACTGTTCGTTACCCCTACTTTCGTAGACGACGAAGCTAGAAACGTGGAACAGTGTTTAGGCAGGCTGGTACAGAGAAATTGGTGTTTTTTTTTTTAGCTTGAAGTAATGATTGTGTCGATATGATAATATTCATGTTCCAAAAGGCTTTGATAAGCGGCAATAAGCTGAGAGAGAGCTTGGCTTAACGTACATCGAGCTGAAAAATGGGCAGATGTGACGGAAAGAACCTGTTCAGGGTTTCGGTAAAAGAAGGATCAAAGAGGTTACGAACAAAAGGAGATAATGCTCAAATTACTTTTCAATTTGGAGAGTCAAGGTGAAATAACAGAGTATACTACATTAACTGCATTTACACGATTATATAAAAAGCATCTCCAAAGTGAAGATTATACAGTGTAAGCATACCTCTTTCCATAATCTTTCTATATCTACTTACATTTATAAAAGCCAGATACCCTCTACACATGTTCATATATCTAACAGCTTTATTTTCTTTTCTACTTTTCTTTGTCCTAAAAATGATGAAGAAAGTTACAAAAAATCTGATGATGAACTACAATCTTTTAAAAATTTTGTATCAACAAGAAACCCTGTCATGTTATGCTTCATCTAAGGATTTTATATATTTTCAAATAAGTCAATTGCTACTCTTGTCTCACAAAAGCATCTGATAATGCTTGACATAAACAAATGTGTGTGTATACATACATACAAACATATATATCTCATATCAGTCTATCTATATATATCTATCTATATCTATAAATCTATATCCAACTATATCTATAAATCTATATCTATAAATCTATATCCATAAATCTATAAATCTATATCTATAAATCTATATCCATAAATCTATAAATCTATATCTATAAATCTATATCCATAAATCTATATATCTATATCTATATCTATCAATCAATATATATATCTATCTATCTTTCAATATATATATCTATCTATCTATCAATATATATATCTATCTATCTATCCATATATATATCTATTTATCTATCTATCAATATATATACATATCTATCTATCAATATATATATATATATATCTATCTATCAATATATATCTATCTATCTATCAATAAATATCTATATCTATCTATCAATAAATATCTATATCTATCTATCTATATATGTATATCTATCTATCTATATATGTATATCTATCTATCTATATATGTATATCTATCTATCTATATATGTATATCTATCTATCTATATATGTATATCTATCTATCTATATATGTATATCTATCTATCTATATATGTATATCTATCTATCTATATATATATATCTATCTATCTATATATGTATATCTATCTATCTATATATCTATATCAGTCTATCTGTACGCCTACATCTATCACTCTGTACACCTATATTTATATTGGATATATACAAATATGCATGTATACATACATATGTATAAACATATATACATACATATACATATATACATTATATCTGTATACATGTTTATGTATATATCTGTATATGTATATGTTTACGTACACGTATGTATACATGTATACGTACACATATGTATACATGTATACATACACATATGTATACATGTATACATACACATATGTATACATGTATACATACACATATGTATACATGTATATGTACACATATGTATATATGTATATATATATATATATATATATATATATATATATATATATATATATGTAATGATACATATATACATATATGTATATATATATATATAACACACACACAATGTTTTTGCCAGACTATAACCAAAAATGCTACATACATACAGCAATTCTCCAGCATCAACTACAACACTTTAGTACTAAGCATAAAACTAGGTACAGTATAATAGCTTTAATCCCTTAATGATCAATTACCAAATATTTCATGGGCCATGTGCCTTAAAATTACGATCTTTTTAATATGAGTAAACTTCATGATTTTGTCCTGTGCATCAATAAAAGTGTACCTTCTAAAACTCTATTCAAAGGAGAAACAGTTAAAAATAACATTCTCTCCAAGTCATATAATCCTTCAAGATCTGAGTATTGCTTAAGATATTTCACATTGTTAGCTGTACTTATTCAGAAAGGGTGCTAGAGACTCTGATAAGTATATTTGTGTATCACTGAACTCTGCTTCTTTTTAGAACCGTAGATGGTAGTGAAACACTGTCAGATACAATAAGGATCATTTTCATGTAAAGGTGATATCCTTAAGGGGTTAAGCATGAACTCATACATCAGTATAAGCAGGTGACGTAAAACACTGATCATCCTTTAGTATACTGTGACATCTGAAACATTACATGCCTATTTGCTACAATAACATGCTGCTATATAGTAACACTGTATTATTTAAATTTTACTTGCTAACTGTAATACCTTTATATGCATAAGTATTGTACACACATATAACATAAATCTAAATCATCCACACTCTTTACTGAACTTATGAACAAAGCATAACATGCTAGTGAGCTGTATGGAGAGGTAAGTAATCCCACTGTTAAATCATGCTGCAGGTTAGGGTCTATATAGACAGAGCCGTAAGTGATTTTAGGACTAGCAGTCACTGAAGAGAGCAGATCACTCTTTTAAAGAACATGCATAGCTTTTTAAAATCACCATGCGAACGACCTTACAGCCAGGTTAGTCTTACATCGGTTAGCATCGCCTGGTAGAAGGAGTAAGTTTGGCTGAGACTTGGCATGACTGAGGGGCAGGTCAAGCAGTTCGCTGGCATCACCTTCACCGCCGCCAACACCTACTCGCATCCCTGAACTTATGCCCACACTGAGATTCATGTCAGCATGTGAGCCCGAAGACTCACTTGTGCTGACCTCAGCTGAAAGGTTTGGGGCATCCCGGACATTGGCCTCCGAGCGAAAACGGCGCAGTGGGTGGGCGAAGCCTCGACGCATCTAGGTCATTCCCAGGAAGAGGGGTCAGGTTGCATTGCCAAGGCCCAGGAAGAGGCCATGATAGGATGGATTTACCAAGTCAGTGACAAAAGAAAAATTATGTAAAAAAAAGAATATGAAAAATGCATTCAACTAGACAAAAATGGTAAAGGAGTTAGTACAAAAAGTCAAACAACCAATAATAAGAGGAACGTCTTTGATGGGAACCATGTGGTTACCAAATGCAATTTCCACCCCCCCTTTTGAATGTTATCAAAGTTTAGTCGGTACAAGGAATAATGATGCATAAGATCTGCCTTGTTGGTGCACCACCTTTTCCATGCCCAGGCCTCAGGGGAAAATATTCATATGAAGATTTTAATGTTCATGCAGATTGTAAAATATTGTGAGAAGCAATGACACTGTTGCACTCACAATAAGTAATGCTGGGGATCTAAAACTTATTGAAAACATGGTTTACAAACATAAAACAATTGGCATGATTTCGTGGTCTTAATCTGTAGCATGTATACCTGGATGTGTTTAGAGAATCTATATTACCTTCAAATATTTGTGATTACACATATTGCAGGTCTGTTTTGTGAATTAAAAATAACCAACATAATCAATATAAAATTAATACAAATCAACTTATGTGACAAAAAGGACTGCTACTGCATATAAATGTGAAGTTCTTTTTGTGTTGCCAAACCAGACATAAATATGCCATAATATTTATGGTGCACATTTGCATTAAGGTGTAAGTTGTTGATAACTAATGTAAATGCTGCTGTCATTCCTTAAGCTAATGATAAATTTAGAATAGATTATAAGGTATAATAAAGACATTAATATCACAATTAAATAATGGTAGTAAAGTCAGTTAAATATTATCATTGCTGCTCTTAATTTTATCCTATTAATTTTTAGTACTGCAATCAAGATCACTCAGACTTTATCTAATGTGGTTGCATAATCCTTAGCATTATTACTACTGCAGTTATAATGAGCACAGTATTAACTACTTACTAGCAACTACCACTCATAAATAATTTGAACTATACTATCAATATATATCTCATTAAGGTGAAAGTAACATCTAAATTTAGCAACCTTGAAATATCTAATTTTTCTGAAACTGATATTCATATTTTCATCTATATAAATAAAAAAAAAAACTAAAACTTCCCAAAAGCTATTCATAAAAAGCTCAAAACTTAAAATATGTCAACATATTACAGGATAACCTCATTCATTATAAATGTTAAGCAAAAAGTACTTCACTTGCCATCTTTTTTTTTTTTTTTTAATTCTCATTTTAGCTGAGGCATATACAATACATTTATTGTTACAGCACTACTAAGTATTTACTACACTGCCATGCTATAAGATCCATTTGTGTATTCATGTTCACCTAAATACACAATCTCCCTCGAATTCTCTCCCTTCCTATGCCTTTCTTATTTCATTTCTCATCACACAAACACATCCCCACAAATATACTCTTTCTCTCACTCTTTCACTCACTCACTCACTCACTCTTTCACTCACTCACTCACTCTTGCACTCACTCACTCACTCACTCTTTCACTCACTCACTCACTCACTCACTCTTTCACTCACTCACTCACTCACTCTTTCACTCACTCTTTCACTCACTCACTCACTCACTCTTGCACTCACTCACTCACTCTTGCACTCACTCACTCACTCTTGCACTCACTCACTCACTCTTGCACTCACTCACTCTTTCACTCTTGCACTCACTCACTCTTGCACTCACTCACTCACTCACTCACTCACTCACTCTTTCACTCACTCACTCACTCTTTCACTCACTCTTTCACTCTTTCACTCTTGCACTCACTCACTCACTCACTCTTGCACTCACTCACTCTTTCACTCTTGCACTCACTCACTCTTGCACTCACTCACTCACTCACTCACTCTTGCACTCACTCACTCACTCACTCTTGCACTCACTCACTCACTCTTGCACTCACTCACTCTTTCACTCACTCACTCAGATCATAATTATGTAAAACATGCTGGTACAAGGGATCTTTTTAACTACCTACACAGTATTTTTTATATCTTGTGCAGCAAATACTAATAGTTATAAGCAGCAAGTTTATAATAATATACGCTTGATTATGCTGTACTTATCTATATAAAATCATACTGGGTACAAAGCAATACACAGATATAAACGTGTGTGTGTGTGTGTGTGTGTGTGTGTGTGTGTGTGTGTGTGTGTGTGTGTGTGTGTGTGTGTGTGTGTGTGTGTGTGTGTGTGTGTGTGTGTGTGTGTTTCAATTATTTTGACTATATTATTGCCCTGTCACACCTAGACTAAATTCTGTAAACATTATCAACATATATATCATCATGCTCTACAATGACAACAATTCATGCAAGCAAGGAATGCTTATACTTGTTTAGATCCATATTTCATGTAAATCTATTCACTGATATGCACATATAAAAAACTCACTGAACAAGTTAATACACTAGTGATGGTGAAAATATACATTTTATCAAATGCTATTATGATACATTCAATTTATTCTTATTATTTTTTTAAGTAGTTTCCATTCTTAAATTATCAAACAACCATATACATTACAGAGTACAAAAAGGTCTATAGAAAAGTGACTGAAATCCACAACTTGAAATAACACCTAAGCTACTGAAGGATATTTATAGTGTGATGTAATGCTGCACTTCAATTAATATTTTATGAGCTTATTAAAGAAATTCAAACTGAAAAATGACATTTAGTGTATCTCTAAGAAGAAAGCTGATCAAGACATTCAGTATTTCATGATTTTTGGGATATTTCACCAGAAAACATGAAAAACTGAAAGGTATGTGTATTTTGGACTCGTATAATATCTTCATGTACAATGAAAATACAGTAGTTATGAAGGAGATATCTGATAAAATATAATTGTAATGACAGGTATGATTCCCTTGCTTTTATCAATATCAATTTGTACTTTTAATTTTTTTCAGAAAAAAAATTATCCATTACATAATTACAAATCAATGTTGCTATTACAACATGAGCCATGACTTTGTTTACTGTATACCAAGAGCTTTGCTTTATAGAATTACAATATTGACAGTCTTCAAGCAAAGCACTGGAAGTATTATATCTGAAATATTTAATACGTTGATTCTGTCTCAGAGAATGGGTATTATTAGTTAACAGCCAATCAAAGCATCATGCAGGGTCAATTTCAGTGAAGTAATAACATTCCACTAAAGAATTATCAATGCAAGTAGGTAATTACTGTAATAGTAATGATAATAATTACCATAAGTAAGAAAGAAGAAAAAAGTCTGAAGCAATCGAGAACCACATACCTTCTCCCTCATGGCCCTTAGACCACTATCCGATGACTTCTTGCTCTTGACGTGATGTTCTGGGCTACTGCCGCCATAATCATCTTCACTGTGCTCTGTGAGACTAATCTTAGGGAGTGGCTTCCCATGCGATTTGGAAGTTGCCGTAAGACCATTCGTTCCTGAGCTCTGGTCTTCAGTAACGGGGTTGTCACCTTGACAGTGGGATGAGGAAGATGAATCTCCATTTGGAGTTTCTGGTCTAGGATGGCTGCGTGCCATTGCTAAGGCACTCGCAATTATGTTAGCCCCAGTTCTCCTCGACTTTGAAACTGTGCGAACCGGGCTGGAAGTAGATGGGGTGACGGAACCACTAAGGCTACTGTCTTGGTCATCCCTGGTGTGACTTTTGGGCAACAGGACAGCTGACTCACTTGCTCTGCGACCATTCGACAAAAGAGGATGATCCCCTGATACGTAAGACACACTCTGAGAACCCATTCGAGGCAATCTTGGGGTCTCGGTCTGTGAAAGGAAACAGAAAATCTATTTTTTTTTTTTTTATGAACATGGTGATCTTTACAGTTTAAAGAATGCTACTTATGTCAACTTATCTACTGATTAATCTATAGTATGTCTGGTGTGAACCAATAATCATTATAAGTTTCGAAATGCCACCTCATGTGTAGGTGATGACTGGTGCAACAATACTCCTGAATCTTCTCCTGACGATGCCCCTGCAACTTCATCCTTGACACTGTTTGATCTGCTCATTTCATCAGTTCTATCCATGTCATCTGCCACTGCTGTACTAGAGGTTAAACTGGTGTCTGTTGTTGATGGTATTATCTGGTGCTGAAGAAACAGTAAAGAAATTTTATAATGAATATAACTTTCACTTCACATAAGATTAGCTTATTCAAGTACATATGGTTTCTTCTTAACAATAGCTGTAAGTAAATGATAAATCAAGTTACACAAGAAAACTATATTAAGCAAATAAAGCAGTAACACACTGTATGCTCAGATAATCAATCTGACCTTAGCACAACATATACATATATGTTGTATTAAAGTGACATACATATATGTCACCTTAGTACATTTTGTACTGAACTATTTACCTCATAATCATCAGAAATGACCTTGACTCTGATTTCTATCTGGCCAGATTTGGTGCCCTCCAGCGTGCACCACTTCGGGGCATCTTTGTGAGATAGGTCGCGGACGTCCGACTCCTTCAGAGCAACAGAACCGAGGAAATCTCTTCCAAAAGCATCGTGATCCCACAAAGTCTGAAAAAAAAAAAAAATCCTAAAAAGTACTGCTCTCCGAAATGCTGAAAGAGATTAACACCTGAACTGCATTTGAATTTGAATAAGTTCTTTTGACAGTCGAATGCTCACAATGGCAAGGATGTCTGGATGTCTGGGCAGATGCGTCATCAGGGTTTCCTCCCACTCGGGGTTGAGGGTCTTCTTCTTGACCCGAGTGCGGTACTTGACCTCGCTGTTGATTTTCACGACGCAGTAAGGGTCACTGTAGCCATTTAGGTCTTTGGCCACCAAGTCTCGCGCTCTGTGTTGAGTACATACCGATAAATTAGTGAATGTATAGTTAGCATAATGATGATATGTGTATGCTCACTGACATGCATGCAGAAGGACAACAGTTGACCATTCCTCTCTTAATCTAAATATCTTATTTTTTTCTTTCCTATTTCATCTCGCTAAATGCCCTACGTTTCCAACTCAATAATACCACACAAGGTCAATGGCCCCAAATGCGCTATTTGTCTATTACAAGAAGTCTGAACAAACCCACCCTCTCTCTCTCTCTGTAATCCCTTGTTCGCGTGCTGCCTGCCTGGACTGAACCACTATCCTCTCATCTATATTCTAGTATGTGATGTGCCAATTATTCCTTCTCTCTCACAGACAAAACGGAAAGAAATATCAGAAAGCAGTGTCATCATAATCCTATTAATCACCCAAGTTCCATCTTCACCTGGCCGTATTCTATTTCCAAAAGCTTCTGTATGTCCTTCGCCAATCAGCATTTTGTTGCCATGTTACCCAATTACCTTTGCATTGCAACAACACTTCCGGCGCGAATGCAATCCTTCACCGACGACTTTCAATGTTCAAACAAAAACGTGTTGTCCTCAGCAGTTACTCGAAATAAAACTCAGCAATGTCGATTGATCTTACTATTCACACAACCATTATAAAGACTTCTGAATCCAGACCGCAAAAAAGGGAGGGAAAATAGACAACCGCCTCGGTGAGCGGACCCGAGCTTGAAATGATGAAGCTTTGTTCTACATTATCGATTGCTTGCACTTGAAACATTTAGAAAGATCCTTGAATTAAAACATTCATTTAAATTTGATAACGTATCTGTAATTGCATACATATTATAACACCATGCACCTGACAAGGCTGAGCAAAGGACTCGCATCTCCCAGTAACCCTAAGGTCCAGACGAAGCTGTGTCATACAAGAAAGGGTTCCCTATGAGCTCAGATCTTGTGCTCGAGGCATAGTGCAATACTTCAAGAAACCTACACCAGTACACAGCAAGCCATCAAAAATAGCTATACACATTGTACAACCAATATTAGAGTAATGTACGACTGTAAAGGACTTCTATAAAAACAACAAAGACAGGCTCGCCCAAGTCAATACGAGAACCACCAGGTACTCACGCACACCTGACATTACAATGCACATTAAAATAACAATCATGTGCAAGACCACGAAGAGAATAGTGGTGTAGCTAGACATTTGCGAGCCTGGGTTTCAGGTTCCTTGAAAGCTTCCTATATAGTTTTTGTTTGAAGTTTGGTGAAGAAATACAAATGACATAATAAAATAGTCATTTACTTATCATTGCAGAAACAAATGCCTGAATTATCCCTGAACATAAATATTCAATTTTAAACGATATTAACAGAAGTCATTAAGGTCTCAAGGGGCGTTGTGAAAAATCGCCCCCCCCCATGCAACGCTACAGACACTGGCAACAGCGAGTATTCACAGACAACAATACACACAGCAACGCAAAGAAAAAAACAAACAAAACACACACACACACGGTACAAATACCTTACGTAACGCATCAGCACTGACTTACATAAGCATCCATTCTTCCCACGAACCATGCATTACTGGGACAGATTATCACAACGCACCAGAGAAATATGAAGTCAAAACCTTCACAGGCAATTAAGAAAAGCTCATTAAATCAAGATCTACACAAACACCACCTCTCACCCCTTAAACTTCACCCACGCTCTCATTAACCAAACTGACAAAAGACCTACCCCTTCAAATCGAGAGCGAGTATAGACCTGAACCTAGTGGGCCAAACATGTTTTAAACAGGTTCTGATACGGGAGTCCTCGGAGATGCTAATGGACTAGGCAGAAGAGAATTCTGACTCCTCCTAGACTGGACATTTTACTGCCGTTTTAAAAATGATGATAACTGATTGATAATGATGATGATAATTATAATGGCTGATGATGATGATGATGACAATATTACAACTCACACAATTAATGAAATAAGTACAGTAGTGGCATAGCTCCTAGGAGCATTGGATTTACACGCGGCATAATAAGCCGCAAACAATCATAAATAAATAAAGATCCAATTTCAAACCTCCCTCCCTCTATAACTCAATAAGGTTATGAAAGGAATAACAAGAAAACACACGAATATACTTAATTTGCGACACAATTCTTGTTTTTTCTTGGTCTCTCCTTCCTTGTTCTGTTTACAATTCCCCCACCATTTAATTTACTCACAAACCCAATTTCATTATCCTGCAATACGGTCGCAAATCTATGACATAAAATCATATCTGATCAATGATAAAGCATCCTAATGTATCGATACAATACTAGAGCAAACAAAAAACAAAACCATATTCACACAAAGTAGGCTTAACATAGAACGCTCATCAGTTTCGAAATTCTCCTTTGATTGTCACCTTCCTGTCAGAACATACCTGATGATCGTGAGTTCCATGAGACCAAGACCCGAGGCTAGGATATCCCCGATGTCCTGCGTGCCGCCGTCTCCGTCCCGCCCTGTTGCTAGGAGCTGTTTCTGAAATGTGCCAGATTGCAGTATAAAGTGCGGAGTTCGCTTTACCAACAGACAAGTGTCGCACAAGAATTAATTCTGCGATAATCTGTGCTAGGTGATAAGGTAATAAAGGGATGTATTGGTTACCATGCACACAACTGTCACACGAGAGTTCGTAATTTGATTCTGTGAAAAAAAAATGATGCTGCATGTAATAACGTATACGTATAACTAGAAATATAATTCTTAATTTTTATATTTGTTGCTATGGGTAAAAAGCATGGTAACACGTATTGTGATAGGTTTCATCGTTGGTCACTGTGCTTATATCCGAATATTCTGTGGAAGAAGTAAATGGTTTTAAGTCAGTCAAGTTTTGTCCATTGTCATTTAGTTGATGAAGATGACTCATTTCTATTATCAAAATTCAGGAAAATTGAATCCCTAATTTCATAACTAATCTACA